CAGGGGGCCTGGGTTTACAAGAGAAAAACCTGCATGTTACATAGGGAGAAAGCCACTAAGCAGCCCCCCCCCCCCCCATGATTCCTGACTCCCAGGTTCCTGCCCTGCCTTCCCTCAGTGATGAACTGTGACCTGGAAGTGTAAGCCAAACAGCCCCATTCCTTCCCATGTTGCTTTTGGTCAGGGTGTTTAATAACAGCAACAAACTGAGACCAGAACATGGAAATGCCACAGCTTTCTATGGGATTTAACTACTTCTGGAACCCATCCCGTTTCCTAACAAAGTATAAGAAAACAATATAGAATATAAAAAACAATGGGCTGATGGGATAGCTCATTGGATAAAGGCCCTTGCCACCAAACCTGATGACCAGAATTCAATCCTCAGAGCCGTAGAGTGGAAGGAGAGACTGCCTCTGATCTCTACTTCCATGTCACCGCACATGCATGCCCCATGTCCCATGAAAAATAAATAAAGGTATAGAATAAAACTCTGATGTTTTTATGTGGCTCTCTATGAAGTATCTTTATTTGCACACTAAATAAAAAAGAGGTGACTTTTGATATGCCAACAGATATAATTTATTACCTTTGATACATTATCCTTTTTTTTCCCCTAAGAGCAACTTACAGAACAGTGAAAGAAGAATAGAAAATATCTTAGCATATGAGATTCTTCCATGGCCTTGGCAGCCCTGAGCCTTGTAACATGGGGGCAATCTCAAGGAAAATTGGTTTTCTCAAATTGGTATCAAATTTGGATTTTATTCTTTTTACAGGGGCTATCAAAGCCTTTCCAATATCAGACAAAAAAAGTGTTCTGTAAGGTCAACTGTTTGGCGACTTCACTCTGGCACACACACAAAGCACAAGCCAAATTGAAGTTCAAGAAGGAGTTAGTGGGCCAGGACTTGAAAGTCTTGGGAATCAGCACCCTGGGTCTTAACAGGTGGGCTGGCAGCAGGTGGGCTCAGAGCAGCTGGGCTGGCAGCAGTAGCAGCAGCAGGCTGGGCGGCAGCAGGACTGTCCACAGTAGGATGGGCGGCAGCAGGAGGCCTGGGCATGGTGCAGCTGGCAGCAGGTTGGGGGTGTGGAGCTCACCACGCAGCAGGGGGGCAGACAGGTGCCCTCCACACGGCAGTCTGGGCGGCACCATCTAACTCGGCAGCTCATGCCTCCACTGCCACCCTCCTGGCCACAGCCAGTACCACAGCTGGGCTGACAACAGCTGGGCTGGCAGCAGCTGGGCTGACAACAGCTGGGCTGGCAGCAGCTGGACTGGCAGCAGCTGGGCTGGCAGCAGCTGGACTGGGAGCAGCTGGGCTGGCAGCAGCTAGAGCCACAGGTGCCACCTGTGGAGCAGGTGGGAAAGCCACAGAAGCTAGTAGCGCAGCAGGCCATGATGTTAGATGTTGCTCTGTGCTGAAGGTTTCTTTGCTTGAAGAAGTTTTTTGAGTTTGGGTAGTGACTACCTCTCCAGTCCTTTTATAATCCTTGGCTGGCTGCTGTTTCCCTAACTCCCGAAGCCTCTTCCTTGTTTATGTTTATGTAATTTTCCTCCAAATGACAATTGCTTGTTCCTGAGTTACTTGTTCAGTCTTCTGAAAGCCTGTAAAAAAGTTTATTTTATTTGGTGTTCAATTAGGGTTCTTAACTACCGTGAAGGAGTCACTAGCGTTCTTTGGAAACATAAGCATGGATCACCCATATTCGCTATAATTTCCCTATTGCCGAAGGATAATTGGCTAATGCTGCTCCTGCTTAAGGAGGCTCAAAATTACTCAGTGTTGACCCTGGTAATTGGGTCTTGAATCTTATGTGGGAATTTAATTCCTTTGTTTCCTTTGACTGGGAAGCAAAGGAGGGTTCAGCTGGACAGAAAAGACACTTTATTTTTGCACCTGGAAAATGTGAATGGATGGTTTCTAGTAATGTTTTTTGAGCATTTATCATGTTTCTAGACAACTGATCATACCTGGTATCAATCCGTTGCCTAAGGGTGGGCCCAGCTGCTTCTCTCATAATACTGGGAGGGAACTGAGCCATCAACTGATCAGATTGGCATTTTGTGGGACTCCTAACAGTGGGGATGGGGTGTCTCTGGTTCCTTTGCTTGCCCTTGGCACCCTTTTCCTCTTACTGGGTTGCCTTGCTCAGCCCTGATATGAGGGTTTGGGCCTAGTCTTATTTTAACTTGTTTTGTCATCTTTGGTTGATATTCCCGGGAGACCTGCTCTTTTCTGAAGGGAAACTGAGGAACAGTGGATCTGGGGGAGAGGGGAGGTGGGGGAGCTGGGAGGAGTGGAGGGAGGGGAAATGGGGGTCAGGATGTATTATCTGAGAGAAGACTAAAAAACATAGGGGAAGGAAGGAAGGAAGGAAGGAAGGAAGGAAGGAAGGAAGGAAGAAAGGAAGGAAGGAAGGAAGGAAGGGAGTTCCTTAAGGCTACAAAAAATCCAAGTGGTGAATCTGAAATCTGAACTTCTACCATCTGACTGAGGATAAAACTTAGTTTTCATTCTCAGCGCACGCGCGCGCGCGCGTGTGTGTGTGTGTGTGTGTACATGTGTGTACATGTGTGTACATGCATATGCCATTGAGCTCCTGTGGAGATGAGAAGATAGCCCCAGGCGTGGGTCCTTGCCTCCCTCTCTTGTCTCCAGTTCCCGTCTATCCATAGAGGGTCTGAGATTACAGACGCCTCCGGCTTTATGGGATCCTGGGAGTCAAACCCAAGCCCTCACACCTGTGCAGCAAGCACTTCACCCACTGAGCCGTCTCCTGGCTTCTTTGGTTAGCTAGTTTTTTACCTTAGGTGCTTGCAATGTGCAGGTGTCACGATAGCAATCTCAGGGCTGTTTAATTCATGTCGAAATTCAAATTCAGCAGGATTCTTGGTGCTAAAGATACTGATCTTGGGCATTTGAGGTGTTGCAGTATAATGCTGATAAAAAGCCCTGGAGATAATGGCATTGTGCATGGCATTATTGTTACTGCATTTTCTACCTTGGCACTGTTTTAAACAGCTCCCTCAGTACAAGATTTAAGTCAACTTTCATGATTATGGACTTAGTTAATTACTAACAATGAAACACAATGCTCAAGAGCCAGCAAGCTGGCTCAGCAGATAAAAGGGCATGCCACCAAGCGGGATGACCTGAGTTTGATCCCTGGGACCCATGAAGTGGGAAGAGGAAGCAACTCCTCCTACCTGACCTCTGCACACGTGGGTGTGCACACAATAAATCTAATCAAGCAGTTCAAAGTGTGTCACCTGAAATTTGAGAATTCCACCTCTCTGCCATAAAGTGAAGATGAACTGAACATTCCCTTACCAACCTCAAATAAATCAAGAGCATGGGATATAACCAGACTTGTTTTCCCCGACCACTTGAGTCTGTTTCTTCTGTATTGATTTCCATGGAAATCAAAACAGGTAAAAATATTCATGATGCTTCTCTTTGCAGATTTTCTATCCTTTTTGAATACCAGGAGCTTGTGTCTGTGTTTAAGTGGAAATGCAGGTGTCTGGACATCAATGTTATAAAAATGATCCCGCTTATTCTCTTAAGTTTTCACTACTTCATTTTGGAGGACCCTGACCAGCCCTGTATGACAAGAACAAGGGACTTTTGGACCATCATTTTTGAATATTTGATCCTCTGTTTAAGAGCCATCCTGCCTTTTTCTGAATGGAATGGATGGGGAGGCAGGTAGATGGGGGTAAATAGGGGGAGGGCAGGAGGAGAGGAGGGAGGGAAACTGCACTCAGTATGTAAAATAAATGAAAGATGTTATTTAAATAAAAAAGAGTGATACTGATGTTGCATGGTTTCTGTGTAGAACAGCATGGTCCTGGTTCTGGAGAGTTCTCCAATATTTTCATCTTCATTTCATGGATGCTCTATTCCAGTCTGTTCTAATTCTCTCTTGTATTTCTGAAGGATAAAGTGTGGGTGGTTGATGACCAGTCAATGAATGCACCATTCCTGCTTAGGGCATCCATGCTTCTGTATTCTTTGTATTCTGTGCTTTGTATTTGGACCCCAACCAGGTGACAAGAGATCCTCAAGGACTTCCTCTCATCCCCAACTTTCTAGCCTTAACCGAGTAATAAGGTTTTTGATTTTTCTAAATACCAAAACACATCCTTTTGATGCTTCTGAGTTCAAATCCTTCTAGGTAAAAGGTGTCTCAACTCTTAACCATTTTATCCAGTTGGAAACAAGAGACCTGTATGTTAGGATTTGGGATGTTGACCGTGTTGTAAGCCCATTAAGCACAGATGTACAGGCTGTGCCTGGATGTGGCACTGTGTTCACACAGAAGAAAGAGCATATCGGTCTCCGTACCAATGTACTGTAGGTCTGATAGGCTGTGTTCCCTGGGTATATGTTGACTTCAAATGGTGTTTTGTCAATTGTTGTAAAGTTGTACTAAGGGAGGCCTCATTCCTTTACTTTATATACTAAAACTCATATAGCATGAAGGAACCATTTTAAAGTGTATAATAAAGTGACATTTAGTGCATTTTGTGTATGTGTGTGTTGTGGGGTACATGTACACAGGAGAGTGTGGGTGCACACTCCGAGGCACGTGCATATGGAGAAGGCCAGAGGAGAATATGAGGAATCTTCCTCTATTGCTCTCTATTATTATTATTATTATTATTATTATTATTATTATTATTATTATTATTATTATTATTATTATTATTATTATTATTATTATTATTATTATTATTATTATTATTATTATTATTATTATTATTATTATTATTATTATTATTATTATTATTATTATTATTATTATTATTATTATTATTATTATTATTATTATTATTATTATTATTATTATTATTATTATTATTATTATTATTATTATTGGGCATGTGTTTTGGGGGGTTGCACATGCCATGGGGTACAAGTAGTAGTAAGAGATTAACTTTGCTGATTCTATTTTTCCTTCCATCTTTACATGGGTTCTGAGGATATACTTCGGGTGGCCAGATTTTCATGGCTTGTTGGTTCCTCCATTTATTGTCTGAAACAAGATCTCTCAGTGAATCTGGAGTGTTCCATGTTGACTAGGCTAGATGGCCAGAGTGCTCCTGGGATCCACCTGTCTCAACCAGCATGTATGGCCACGCCTGGCTTTTCATGTGGGGGCCGGGGATTGGAACTCAGAGCCTCCTCTTTTCACAGCAAACACTATTATCCACTGTACCATTTTCTCAACCTCATGGTACATTTCAGACCTCTGATGTGAAATCTTTTAAGTCACCTCAGAAGAATACTCTATAACCTTGAAGCCATCACTTGCTAAATGCTGCTAATCGTGACCTGTAGTCCACCATGTTGATTTTATGTCCAAAGATTTTATTCCATGGGATGGAAGATCCATTATGTGTCTTGTGCTTTATACCTGCTTCACCTCAGCACACCTCTTGGATATTGGAATAAGACTGGTGATAAGATGTGACCAACATTATGTTCTGTATTCTGCTTCATAGCACTCGAGAGGATTGTATAGGAACAAAAATACAGGTTGGTAGACTGATAATTCCTTTCATCATTTTCCAAAGTACATATCGAAGATCACTGGTTACAAGACATTAGCAAGTGAGATAATAACAGCAAACATCCTGGCTTTATCAGTTTGGACATGATGGATAGAGACCATCTTACTGCAGGATCCCACAGCCTCTTTAATGTTCCGAGGCAACTTACAAAATCTTCTAAATGATAGTTGTCCTGGTTTGATTTGCTGCTGCTATGATAAAAAGCACTTTGACCAAAAGCAACTGAAGGAAGGCAAGTGTTTATTTCCTTTGATACTTTCAAGTCACAGTCCATCACTGAGAGAAGGCAGGGCAGGAACTGCAGTGAGACCATAGAGGGACAAACCAAGTTGCTCACTGGCTTGCTCTTTAGCTTATGCTTAGCTAGCTTTATTTTCTTTTGGTTCTGGGTTGTTCTTTTTTACTTAATTCTTTTTAGTTTTTGAAAGTTTCGTATATGAATTTTGGATGTATTAATATCCAATGATGTAGTGACTTCATTTCTACCCCTCCTCCTCTATTCTCCACTCCCTCTCAAATTCATAACCTCTTCTTTTGAAATTAATGTGGCTCTTACTAAGTTGGGTCTCTTTAGTGCTGCTGACATGTGCTTGTGTTTAGGACAGACCTCTTGGGATTGGATGACATATCATGGATTTGTCCCCAAAGAAAACTGTCTTTCTTCTCTCTCTCAGGAGCCATTGATTGCCAATAGCTCTTTATCTAGGAGTACTGAACACTTATCCCTATCTAGAATTAATATCCAGAATATACAAAGAACTCCAAAAACAAAGAGCCAAGAAAACAAATAACCCAATTAAAAAAGGACTGTAGATCTGAACAGAGAGTTCTTTTTTTAATTTTTTTAAATTAAATTTTTTTGAACAGAGAGTTCTTAAAAGTTGAATTTAATTTGGCTAAGAAATATCTTTAAAAGTATTCAACTTCTGTAGCATTCAGGGAAATGACAATTAAAACTACTTTGATATTTCATCTCACCCCACTTAGAATGGCTAAGATCAAGAAAATAACCGACAGATGCTGGTGAAGATGAAGGGAAAATGAGACTTCATACATTTTTGGTGGGATCGCAACCTAGTTCAGCTTCCTCTCTTACACAGCCCAGGACCACCTGCCTAGGGATGGTAGTGCCCATAGTGGGCTGAATTCCCCTCCATCAATTAGCAATCAGGAGACTACCTTACAGGCATACCCATGGGCCAATCTAATCAGGGCATTTCTTCACTTGAGGTTCCCTCTTCCCAGGTGACCCCAGAGCGTGTGAAGTTGACAATACAGACTAACAATAAAGCACATAATATTATTGTATCATTGAGTCGTTTTCCTCTTCAAATGTCTGAGGATATTGCCAGCATGTCACCTATTTATGGACGACCTACACATCTCTCCATGAAAGGGACACAACTCAGTTTTCAGATGAGAAATAGTTGCTCAGGTGAGTGAAGTGACTTACTTACTCAAGGAGTCATGGATCATGGCTTACACAGGCTGCGACTAGAAACATCTAATGTTATTATTCTGCTGTTTTGAGTTTATGGTCTTTCATTTTGCATTACACCTTAGTAGCCCTTTGATGTTTGAAAGAATCATATGTGGTATAAGATATGAGTGACTGGATGGGTTTGGCAATGCCTGAGACACCTAAGTGACACAAACTTCCTATTTGAAAAATTGATCTTTTGGAACACTGAGACCATTTTGTACGAGTGAGGGTCCTAATTGCTTTTGTGTTTTTAAATGTTGTATTTTCCTTGCAGAAACAATGAGCCATTTAGTAGGAAATAAAGAAAAAGGATTATTAAAAGAACAGGCATAGTTAAAGAAAAGAAAAACTGTAGTGCCATGTTGAGACTCTGAAAAATTTCAGTGCTATTATTAACAAATTCCAAAGGAAAGTATTGACAATAACGTTTACCATTGAAGAGACCAAATACTGTTTATTAAATACAAGTCCCAATAAGCTACTGAAATACTTATAGCAATGTATTATATGCCCCTCTCACATTTCAGGGCTTTTGTTGCTGTTCAAGCCAACAAAGATGTTGGCTTTCTCTCCGAATGAATTTACCTCCTGGGAAATTATGTAGCTGTGACAATAGCTGAGTTATCAATACTGAAATTCAGGAGATCTCTAGGGTTCTAGCTGGTCATTTTGAAGTGTCATCCTCTCAAGATTCTTGTCAGAAGGTTTTCAACAGCTGGGCTCAGAGCAGCTGGGCTGGCAGCAGTAGCAGCAGCAGGCTGGGCGGCAGCAGGACTGTCCACAGTAGGATGGGCGGCAGCAGGAGGCCTGGGCATGGTGCAGCTGGCAGCAGGTTGGGGGTGTGGAGCTCACCACGCAGCAGGGGGGCAGGCAGGTGCCCTCCACGCGGCAGTCTGGGCGGCACCATCTAACTCGGCAGCTCACGCCTCCACTGCCACCCTCCTGGCCACAGCCAGTGCCACAGCTGGACTGACAACAGCTGGGCTGGCAGCAGCTGGGCTGGCAGCAGCTGGGCTGGCAGCAGCTGGGCTGACAACAGCTGGGCTGACAA